AATTTTGTTTCTAGCCAATTTGTATTTCTTTTATGGACTTAATAGTAATTTATAACTTGAAAATGTAACATTTTCATGTCAGTCTTTTGAATGTTTGGTGATTAATAAGTCAAAGATTAAATTTTTTCCAATCTATTGACAGCTTAATAGAAATACCTATAGGAATTACTAGTTGCATCTTCATGGCCAATATGTTCGATATGGACTTCATTGTTTTAATTCTGATCTAGGATTCAAATGCTGACAGCAATTCCTGTTTATTAAAAAGACTAGATAATAATCAACAATCCAGTGATAAAGCCTGTTTTATGTTTGAAGGATGGAGAAGTCAACTGTGTAGATGTACAACTTGTCAGGTACAGTGGAACCTCATTTATCCGGTTGCCGATAATCCGGAAACCTCGATCCGCACGCTTTTTACTGGGAACGGAATATTTACTATGTAAAATTACCCGTTAATCCGGTGCTTCGGTTTCCGGTTCCGCACAGCTGTGATTGGGAACCAATTATCAAATTCTTAGTAATTAATATTCACCTTCGGGTCGCATGTCACTGTGAGATCTTTAAACTGGCTTCCGGATTATCGGTATCTTAAGATGTCGCTTGATTGGTGTTTAATAAATCCTCATTGTGAGATTAAGCAATTAATTTACTGATAACATACAAGCTATCCATTGGATATAAAAAGAAAACGTAATCATCTTTCTTCATTCATACATGAATTACATTATGGCCACCCAACAAGTTAAACGTCAACGCTTCAAGTTACCCCACGTGAAAAAAGGGAAATTTGTGTTTATAAGTTATCGAATCCTAAGGTAAGCTTGGATTCCATAAGTCAACATTTTCAAATTGAATTTGGTCATAAGATCGGCAAGTCTACTATTGGTGACATTTTACGTAATAAGGAGAAGTGGTTAAATATTTCTGAAGATTCATCTTCGTTGTTTTTGGCTCGTCATGCGAAGAATGGAAAGCTTGAAGAAGCGATCTATAATTTGTGGCTTTGTGAAATGAACAGTAGAAATGTGGCAGTTGGTGATACGATGCTCATTGAAAAGGCTAAAGCTATTGGAACTAAATTAAATGTGACTGATTTTGCTTACTCTCTCTTATCCCGAGTTGTATGTAAGATACCGATTCAACACAAAGCCGTGGATGACCTCTGAATTGTTTAATGATTGGCTGACTTCATTTGACAGACAGGTGAAATACAAGAATAAATCTGTTATTCTCTTATGTGATAACGCCGCTAGTCACAGTGCAAAGAAGAAATTGACCAATGTTAAGCTTCATTTCCTCCCCCCTAACACTACCGCCCATATTCAACCGATGGATGCTGGTATTATCCGCACTTTTAAAAAATGCATATCCCTGTAATTTCCTAATTTTGTTGTTTTGAAATTATAGAAAATGTATGAAGAGAAGAATATAAGTTTTATATTAGATGAAGATGATACAGTCCATGCCTATGAAGATAAAGGTTTAGCTTCTCATAGTTTTACAGATACCAATGCTTTACCCAGAGCTTTATCACAGATGGATAGAGTACAGCAAGTGGAACTCATACATGGTATAATATTGTTATGATTTATAGATGAGTTTGACTATTTATGTTTGTGGAGATAATAATAATGTGTTTACTAGCTCTGATCTTGTGATCTTGAAGACAATTCTTGAAATAAGCAAGTAACGTGACTTGATAACAGAAGCAGCTGCTTTTTTCACCATACAATTTGATCTGAAAGGATGCAGTTTAATATATGCCTTAAGACTATTTAATTTTGTAAGAGTATTACATGATAAATAAAGAATTCAAGACAATAAATTCTTGAAAAAAATGTCAAATTGGGTAAATGTTTTGATTGCCTTTAACTAACTTGAAAATAATAGAACACAATGACAGCCAACAGTGAGAGTTGAAAAGTAAAGTATGTAAATTTCTTTCTTCAGGGTATAATGATATGAAGGAAGGGCTTAGAGAATATCTTAGAACATTTGCAGAAAGTGGAAAGGTAAGTTGATACTTATACTTGAAGTAAACTTCAACTAAAATTCGTGTGAAATGGAGTGGAAATAAATATATGGAAAAAACTTCCAAAGGTATATCCTTGCATTTTTGGAGACAAACACCAGACTAACTGCAAGCGAGAATTGAATGTTGTGCGTCTCAAGACGAATGGTTTTGAAAGAAATATGTTGTTGTCTTGATAACACTGCTTGAACAGAGTTATCTACCTTTAATAACTCAATTCTTTGAATGTTTTGAACATCGAAGGGTGAAAATTACCGCTCGCAATCAATTGTTCTATGAAATTTTAGAGATTGATATAAAATTTAAAAAATCTTGTCTAAAACTAATGGTGCTCATTACTATAGCTGAGATGATAATACTTTACCTTTTTACAGGTGGTCAAAGAAGAACATATAAGGGAATTTTTCAGTCAGATGCACACAAGAAAACGTCAAAAGACGGATAGTGGATTCCAGTATAGCTGTAAATAAGATGCAGATTTTAACTTTAACTTTTTTTTTAAACACTCAATTTAATTTAAAGGGATGGTTCAGCAAAATTTGACAATAAGAGCACAATATTTCTAATGAATATTGGTCAAATTAGAGTTATTTGTTGTGTTATTCTGCTGAGTCATCCATTTTAATACAGTAGAATAATGCCTGTGATAGATTTTATATACCATCTATTGTTTTACTAATCATATATTTTGATCAAAACACTGTCTATTGAGGTCATGAAATGTAATTTCATCTTTGTAAAATCAACTAACTAAGTAATCAGTGATTAAAATTGAAGATTGATTGAAGACTTTTTTTTTAATGGACTATGTATCCAATGTAAATAAAATGCATTTAAATGAGTGGTTATCACCTTTTTATGAATGTTTTGTAAGCATTGTTACATGACAGATGTGAATAATCGTACCGTTTGCTAACATGCTTCATGTGGACCTTTCACCCCAGGGGGTGAAAACACTTCAGATTGGGAACCAGGGTAATCGGGAATGCGATTTTTAAATATATGTAAATAGTCTTTTGAATGTACGAAAATCGCATAATTCTTTTAAAAATACTTTAAATTAGGAATTTAACTCAATATTTCTATATATGTCTTTTCTACATATCATAAAGTATCTTAAATTGCCGAGTCGTATGTTGTATTGAACGCCAAAACTTGTTAAAAACACGTCGGATGTTCAGCGTTACAGAGAGAGTTTGATACACTGACAAAATAATTGAAGAAGGAAATGCTTGATATCAAATTATAAAAACATTAACTCAAAATGTATAGTTGAATCTATGCATTATTCCTGAATAGCCGTGACTTTTGAATGCGGTTCAATATGAAGAATACTGATCAACTGATTTGTATTGAAAGAATAGAGTTATCGATTTTTTTAAGGCTTGTGGCGTACGTTATATACAACCTGCTTAAGACATATGGTGGTTCGGAGCTAAACTATTTATTATTTATAACCATATCTTTAATTAATCTGCAATCCCGTGATCAAATATCTTCAAGCTTCTCCAAATTTCATGCATACATTTCCAGACCAGAATAATTGAGAAGGTGGATTGATTTGTTAGCTATGGTGGAATTCCTTTGAGACTATAAATATTGAGTTACCGTAGATACATATCAACAAATAATACCAGTTAAATTTATCTCATAAATTATGTAGTTTGTTGGATCTTTTAGCCAATTAATTCCCATTGCAAGTTGATAATTGTGTTTCTAGTTAACGCCGATTTCAACACAATCCTGTTAAAACCCATTCAAAATCTCGTACATTATAGATATTCACGATAGATCCACCTATCTAGTTATTTGTATCTTGTATAACACCACTATTATGCATTTTTGAATTTTTTGCTTATCTTGTAAAGTTTGTCGGAAGTAAATGATAGCAAAATCAAACTAATGTACTCTTATGCTGAGATCTAAAGTCTCTATTTGTGACCCAGGCCAGTGCTTCTATAGGAGAGTATCTCTCAGAAAACCTAATACCACTTTCTATTAACTATTTGTTGGCAAAGTGAAGAAATTTGAGGCCAGATTTTTTGCTATGGATATAATTCGAAATCTGTATTAATCATAATTCGACATAATTTTAATTATCAATAATATCTTACTGTGATATGCTCTATCACTATAGTAATAAAGGCTTATTACTGTGATGTTCTCTATCAGTATAATATGCTATCCTCTATCAATGTAGTAATATCGTTTTATCACGGTTTATCGGTTTATTTCTGTGATATCCTTTATCACTATAATAATATAGGTTTATTACTGTGATGTTCTCTATCATTATAGCAATATCGTTCTATCACTGTGATATCCTCTATCAATGTAATAATTTTGGTTTATTTATGTGATATCCTTCCTCACTATATTAATATCGGTTTATTACTGTGATATCCTCTATCACTTTAGTAATGCAGGTTTAGTACTGTGATATCCACTATCACTATAGTAATTTAGGTTTATTAATGTGATATCCTCTATCACTATAGTAATAACGTTTTATCACTGTGATATCTATCACTAGAGTAATATATTATATGTTTATTGCAATGATATCATCGATCATCAGAGTAATATAAATATATAATATGAGACCTTCTTTATTTGTTCCTTTTGATCAAAAATATTCCAAGTGATTTTTGCCAATATTTTTTTACACACTAATGTCATTTTTACATTGAACAAAGCAGTATCCTTTGTAACCAAAATAAGCAATATATATTCGATTTATTGTTCGAATTGCATGTTTAAAATATGTCATTGTCAATTGGCAATAAACACAAATACCCGTATATAGATATCTATGTTAATGGGTGCCCGCTTGAACTGTTCATTTCACTTCATGTATTTGACATTTAACATCATTGAAAAGGAAAAAGAAATTAACAAGAAATAAAAGAGTTAATGTTCATATATTACAAAAGTTAGACAAAAGTTTTATTATTAATATTTATGTATATTTTATGTTTGTATATTAGGGTGTTAACAATATCTTTATTTCTAGACAATATTTGTACGTAATTTTGAATATACAATATAGAATATTTAATGATTGTTTAAAGAGACCTTCAAGGGATATATTCTTTCTAAAATGAAAACTAATTTGAAGATACATAAGCTTTATCATAAAGACAAGTCCGCACTACGACACAATCAAAATGCATTCCTGCATTTACATTGCTCTTGAAAGTACAACTGTTGTAGTTTGATATTTTACGTTTTGAAACAGTATATTTTCTCGTGTTGAATGCCACTTTAAAGAAGTAGAACTGTATGTAATGTATAGATAAGACTGGTTCTACTAATCTATAGTAAAGGCACCATAGGCATACCCATACGCATGCGCGCGTTCTTAATTGATTAGTTTATATCACCTGGGCAGTACTAAAAGATGAGTATATACAGATCAGCATCGTATGACTGTGGTATACTGGTATATATGATTGGATTATTGATAATTGAGGATAAAGTTAAGATTGTGCTGTAAGAAACTGGTTTACACTCCATCACCTGAACTCTTTACCTGTATTCATTGCAATTATCATATTGTGAAATTCATGCTTCACCAAAATCAAATAGACTATAATTATTTCCCATGAAATTTGTTGAATGGGAATTGAAAAAGGGATGTTTTAAGAAAGAATTATCAACAGTGGAATTATTTATTGAACAGACATCAGCAGTGTATAGTATATTTACGAGTTGTTAGAATAATAAGCTATAGAGAATTACACCTGGAAATAATAAAACTAACATCTGTGGTATACCTGCACAGCTCTACACTATATTTAGTACATTTACTAGTGCTAGACCGTTCCGCCAGTTCGGTTAGTTAGTACCTTATAACTTATAGGAGAAATAAGTATACAGACATGGGATATAATTTAAATAAATTCACTGGAACCATCGATCCTAATCTATTGTGTGGTGTTTGTGGTGGTGTATTTGAGAATGCTGTCTTAACATCGTGTGGACATAGTTTTTGTCTGGACTGCCTCAAGACTTGGTTAAATCGTCCTATGACCAATTCCTGTCCCGAATGTCGGACACCCATAGAATATGAAACGGTCAAACCTATCTTATCTTTAAGAAACCTAATCAATGGTTTAGATGTTTATTGTGATCATGCTGAAAGAGGTTGTAAAACTGTTACTAAATTAGAAAGTTTGGGGAAACATCTTGAAACCTGTACTCATTTTCCGATTCGCTGTGTTGCTTGTGACGAAGTTGTCAACAGATATGAGTTACCAACACATCAAATACAGTGTAGTGCTATAGCTTCTAGTATTGATGACGAAAGATCTGCACAAACAGAACTTAGTAATGAACTTCTTCGTCCAGCTGAAATCTCCGAACTTCTGTACAGGATAACGACATTAGAGTATCAGTTAAAGAAACTAAGGAGAGATCTACACGAAGCTGAATGTAGAAACGATTATTTAGAGAGAGAATATCGCAAAGCTAGGGATGAATTACAGTCAAAGCGACAAGATGTCGTGGAACATTTTGCCGATTTTGATAGTGAATATTTATATGGAATGACCTCCGAGAGTATATCGAGATTATCATTATTAATAGCCAGGTATTTATTGAGGAAACCAGGCTATGTGGAGAGTGACAGAATATTTACGTGTATAAAAGGATGCTATGAGAAATATTTTCGATGTGGTAATGAATTTGAGCATGACGTGCACATGTTATTGGCTACAGCGTATGCTAGCAATTGGTTTTCTCCTTGCCAAAGATTAAGTTTGAACTGTTGGCTGCAGTGCATTGTTAAATATCGACAACATACGAGATATCCACGGGAGGTTAAATAACGTTTTAGTTTTAATTTAGTATTTTTCCATTCTGTATAACATTTCTAAGTTATGAAACTTCATTCTCTCAGGTGGTATTTGAACATGTCTTACTCACAACACAATGCAGTCGACTGGATAAAATAACCTTGATATATTTGACATGGTCAATATGAAATATTCTCACAGGTTTCACACACGTGCCATTGATAATTTGACTATTAATTTTGTAACGAGTAATTACGAGTAATTATAATAGGCCTACGCAATATACGTATTAAAGGCTATGGTTCATCATAGGGGCATTTTCGGGGGTTGGTTTGTGCTTCGAAAGTACCAGAACTGTACGAACCTCACCTGACAAGAAACGAATTCTCGTGTTTGGTTATACAGTATTTTTTATTACAGTTTTATGTTATAGTTAGGCCTAGTACCATACACTATAATACGAACACACAATGCCTGCCGACTTAATTGTATAATTAAATGATTTATCACAATAAAAAAATATCTGGTTGTATTTATTCACCAATTGAATTCTTTTCCATTCATTACATTTCTCACTTATTTACTGTTAACATGATGTCTTTTGACACTATCTGAAGTGACAATCTTATGGTTTAGAACTGAGGAGAGGGGAGCACATGATTCTGTCATGCTTATAAGGTCTTTAATTATATTTCTTTTGGGGATGGGTAGGGACCTGTGGACATGGTTCAACTGTTCTCTATGATGGATTTTGAGCCACTGAATAAATGGCAGCTGACCTTAAAATAATTACCTGTAAAAAGCTGTGGACAGACTGGACAATTTTCAAGCCGAACGGTTCTGGTCAGTCGATCGCCAGCGAACTTCGCCTAGTGCGTCCAGTGCTATACGAAATTCACCCGATCATCGACCAAAGTCCATTCGCTAACATCAAGCGTCTTTGATATTATTCGCCAGAAAATTCATGTCATCGACTCTGGCAAAATTTCCTATAATCACAGAATGGTCGAACCCACCGAGAGAGCTAATTTTACAGGGTCGGGTGTCGAACCGAACTTAAGTGTCTATAGGTTTTCAATATTGCATTCGGGGCTATTATAGATAGGTAATTGCGATTCGGCCATTTTTGAAATCAAGATAAAAGTGGGTATATTCATATTAAAGAGTCACTCGTTTTTAAATAGAAATTGTACGTCTTTTTGAATGTGAAGTACAGACAATATTTCGGAAACAAATTACGACACATCGTACTTTATTCTCAACCTTGACTTTGTGTTGAAATTGTCTGTAAATTCTTTTCAAAAAATGACGTACATTTTAAATTTAAGAGTGGGGCAGTGAGCCTTTTGTATGAATGGACCAACTTTTCACCTAGATTTTATTTAACCTTTAACAATGCTTTAGAATGAACAAAGCTTAACATTGGGAATTTTGTACGATGGGTCGTAATTTCTGCCTTTTAACCTAGATTTAATTAAACCTAGTTTTATTATGCCCTTAAAAATATATAAGACTTAATATTGAGAATAGTTTACAGTGAGTCGTCAATTGAAATTGAAATATTACATCCTGGCATGAAAAATTTGAGTTGATGACTCAAAGTCAAATTGAACAAACAGGCTTTAGGGAAAAAGTATGAGTATGGCGCACTTTATTAATGATTTTTCAGTATAATAGAGCCTTATGTGTCATTTAATAATAAAATAGCGATGGTTCTTCTCTAGGACAAGTTGGAGATTGGAAAAACTATTTTACTGTGACTGAAAATGAAGAATTTGATAAAGTTTACCAAGAGAAAATGAAGGCCAGCAAACTACAATTTAGATACATATAAAGCAAATGAAAATAACGGGATATGTTATTACAATATGTAATACATATACTTTACAAAATATTTTGGTATATTACAATAAACATTGACATGTATCAATTATTGATTTGTAGTTTGTTTGATGTTTAGAGGATGTTTACTGCCACATTCATGAGAATTAGCTCTGGAATCAGATCGACATTGTGACTGTCAGAGATCGACGATGACGCCGAAATAAGTAGACATGAGCGCTTCAACAACTCTGAAAAATCCTAGTTGCTCCTGCTATGGTCATCAAGGTAAGAGGTCGGAATCTGCCAATCATCCTGTTGATCGCATTTGCTACTTGCGACGAGGCCCTAAAGTGGAGCAAAAATAGCCAAGATTTATGTATACCCCGAAGATATAACCTGCAAGAGAAAATGAAGAAATATGCCTAATTACGTTTGTGATTGGCTTGCGCTCCAAAATTTATGAATCAAGATTTGATGAAAGAATATTTGATTTAGCGTATTCCTTAGAACCTTGAATTTCCATAGTGATGGTTATGTTGGAAAGCTGTTTCAGACCGAAGAGCTAAGCATATTAGGCTGCTATTGGGGTGACAATTGAACGTGTTTAAAGTAAAAGAGTCCTCACCCATGTGTATGTGTAGGGTTTTTCAAAATATTTTGGAATCATTCTCCACTGACTGATTTCCTACTATATTGGTATTTACTTTCCAAAATTCTGGTTGCAGTTTCCTTTACACTAGAAATGTTCTTAACCAGTTTGATGTAATATGGCTGGGGAAAGCGGCAAAAACCCACTGCTGTGTAGAAATGTCTAATTCAACACACAAATGTAACATAATGCATTTAACATATTGCTAAATTAAGATTATCAGCACATAAGTTAAATATTGAAACTGAAAGATTTAAAAAGACTAGATGAAAAGATAGTTTCTACATACCAATATGTTTTTGCCGTTTTCCCCCACCATAGATGTAGGCCTATGTATCATATTATGCTATTTCAGTAGGAGCAATGTGGTTAGTAATGTTGTTGTGCATGGAATGCACATAGGTAGACGAAACGTCCAGAGTATGGACGAAACAACTGGGACCAATCGTCTTATCGAACGCGCACTGTATTTGTATTCAGTTGTAATAAAGTTTTCATGAGTTAACCTTGTGCTTTCTTCCTGAAGGCATACGACTCTCCGTGGTGTGTATTTACCCTCACGCCTAGAACCTCGAAGCATCACAGTATCACTTCAGGCTAAAATCTACTTTCATTTATAGACCGAAATCTAAAAATATCTCATAAGTGTGAGCTACCTTGTTGTTGTTATAGGGCTACCGGCCTACTGACCCCTTTACTGGTAAGATAAGATTTATTGCACACACGTCCTTTGTGAGCAGCATACATATATCAAATAATAAAAGGATCCGCTGTGCAAAAAAGGTAAAATGACATAGTTCTTTATTTGTGTTGTACTGTGATTAAGTTGTATCACAGATAAAAACTGCAGTCACGTGAGTCTATTAACTTTTACTTATTAACAATGGGAGGGTGAGGACAAACTTTGGTTGAAGTCAAGAAAGAGGCCTATAAGATGGAAAACGAAATCGTTGTCGGAGAACCAAGGGATGTATATGATAGGTCCGGTAATAAAATGACCATCATAGATGTAAATGATTTCCCAAGTATGGATTTAAAGCCTCTTGTAAAATGTGAACCAAAAGAGCACTTTGAAAATATACGAGATTTAACCATAAGAGATGATGATATAGTGATATGTGGTTATTCAAAAGCAGGTAAGCTGACTTTTTAGTGAAATATAGTTGCACCGAAATGACATTTGATAATAGAGCAAGTCATTAATCCGTTTTTACTATCCGAGGAGCGAACCACAAAAGAACTCTAATCCAAAGCAGATATCATATAGCCTCTGATTTTATAGGTGTTAGACTTCAAAACATTGCTGGGTATTTCCAAGTCCTGTCAATAGTTATCAGTTATAGGGTACAGGCTATACATTTACAGATGCTTTCAGCTGCTTTTCATTCAGAATCGAATTGGGAAAAGTTTTTCATTAATAGAATAAAGAAAAAAAAAACATAGACAAACCTCACGAAATCGTATCTTATTTTATTTTACGATATTGTTGCATGTAAAAGACCTTCATAATTTTCATAATATATATTCAAGGTACACATTGGTTGTGGGAAGTTCTCAACATGTTAAGAAACAAGACGACCGAGTACAAAAAAGACGTGAAAGAGAAACAAATGATAGAATTTCTTCAGAAGGGAGATCTTGATAAAGAACCTTCACCAAGAGTTTTAAACACACATTTATATCCCAGTCTTTTACCAAAACAACTGTTAGAGAAAAAAACCAAACTGGTTTATTTGATTCGGAATCCTAAAGATACAGCTGTTTCATTGTATTTTCATTTCTATGGTCTTCAAGGATTGGCCCCTTACGCTGGAGATGTACATGATTTCATAGATATATTTTTACATAGGGAATGTGAGTATAACAAGCTGAATAATAATTATTTCAATGGACATTTCAGACCATGAACAGAGACAACTTGAGCTTGTATTTTCTAATGTTTGCAGGAGGTTTAACAGGATATATAATATCTTTGCTAAAAGAACAAGTTGTTTTTTTTATATCTTTAGTTATTTATTGCAAGACTTTAAATAACTTTTTTCAGTGGGACTTGGAACTTGGTTTGAATATGTTTTAAAATGGGAGAAATTTCTTCAGACAACTGATAACCCAGTTTATTTTTTACCTTATGAAGACATGAAAGAGGTAAAAAAATATGGAGATGAATTTAGAGAGAAAGCAATCCCCTGGCTCTATTATTCAAAGGGAAAATCGGTTTATCTTGGCTATAATTCGGTCTTCCTACTTCGATATGCCATTAAGCAATAACTGATTAATTCTAAAAAATATTATATTTAGTAGGCCTATATATATATGTCTAATTTCCTTTGAAACTTTAAGTCAAGAAGCATTTAAAGGGACGATGTGCCATTTTGGGGGGTTGGTGTTAGTCTTTAATAGTTGTAGATAGTCTTCAGAAGTACTAGAAATATACATAAATCAAATAATTTATTTAAGAATACTTCAAACTATGAAATTTACTCACTTTTTCTATATATGTCTTTTCTATATGTCACAGATTATCTTAAATTGACGAGTTGTCATTAAACATTCAAACGCAGATAAATCTGGACACATATGGATTTGAAGGCCTATATTCCGACTGTGAACAGTATTACTGATTAGCTCAGCTAAAAAAAAATTCCAGTTTCTGAGACTAAAGTATGATTGGTCAAAAATGGCCTACCTGTACCTTTAAGTTAATTGGTAATCGATTCGTATTTCTCAAATATCGAAAATCGTATACAGTCGCGTATTTAGGCCTTCACCTTGGTCTCCTGGGTTTTATTGAGAATGAAGCCCTCTAAATGCCCAAAATTCATCTCAGACCATCTGGAATCCACGTGCTTCACCTTGGCCTCGCCTTGGAGAGATACCTCTCATTTTTGCCCCTCCCCCACTCTTCAGGCATTTTGGGGAGGATATTGTCCGTCCGTCCGTCCGTCCATAAACACTCTAGGTTCAATTATTGATTTTGACGAAACTTGGTGTGAATGTTTGTTATCACCCAAGGATGAACCCTATTGAAGATATTTTGTATGACTTATTGTCCTTGTTCTTAAAAACGCGTTCAATTTTTAGCTTTTTAACACTAGAAGGCACAATTCTTGACAGATTTTGACAATACTTGGTGTGAGTGTTTATCACCCATGGATGAACCCTATTGAAAATCAAAAGAATAAAAAAAATATGAGTTATTTTCCTTTTTTAAAACACGTTCAATTTTCAGCTTGTCACAATATTTTTGATTTTGGAAACACTATTCAGTATTGCCCCAAAAAGTTCCAAAGAAGTGTATGTCTGAAGGTTGAATATTTCATACTGGTGATTGTTACACCACTGCCAAATAGTTTTATTTAAAATCATGTATTATAAATATTGAAAAAAAAACAGTGAGTTTGAATTTATTTTTATGTTGTTATAGAATCCAGTTCATCATGTTAAAGAATTAAGTAAATTTCTAGAGATAGATGTATCAGATAAACTAACAGAAGATATCGTTGAAGCGTGTTCATTTCGAAATCTGAAAAAAGCTTCTGAAGAACAGAAACATGACCCATTAAAACCATTATGGAAAGAAGGACAGTCTATGTACAGAAAAGGTATACATATTGTATAAGTTTTTGTTCAAAATACGAAATAATAAATATTACACCTCAATGAGAAGCCAAGATACAATGAAATTAAAATGTTACAACCTTACAGGTGGAAAATTCAACATAGTAAAGGCAAAAAGTACGAGTACGCACTATACTACCGATGATATGTTTTATAGTAATTATAGGGTCTAAATATGTCATTTCATAGTAAAATATATATTTTCTTCTCTAGGACAAGTTGGAGATTGGAAGAACTATTTTACTGTGGCAGAAAATGAAGAATTTGATAAAGTTTACCAAGAGAAAATGAAGGCCAGCAAACTACAATTTAGATACATATAAAGCATCGGACTGACTTAATGGGAGAACAACGTCGGGGCTGAATTAAAAAATGCGGCAAATCGATGAGGTCGCCTCGTGAAGCATCTGAAGAAAATTTTCGAAAAATTGAACTGATTTGGTTATTTTGGAGCAAAAAGTATAAGACTATAGTTAAATTTGTTAAAAATAAAGTGGGGTAGGCTAAAATAGTTGGGGCGCAAACCATTCTTCTATACAGGGGAGATTGTCCTTACATACTGATTATGTAGTTGCATCCTGAATTTCAGTGGTAAATAGCCATAAGTACCCTTACAGCTATATACCACAGCGTGGTAACTTGTTAAATTAGGCCAATGTCACCATGTAAGTCTATGGAGACAATACGTGGTAACTAAATTTTACCACGTTTTTTTTTTTATTTAGTGGATTTCATCCAATTTTTATTGAATTTTTAAATCCCAAGCTATAGTATTGTATTATGGTGTATGGTGCGGTAAACTATTGTAGGAGAAGAATTATAGAGATTCAGGACTTATGATGCCCTTCAACACGACGAACCCAAGCGAACCTCGACACTTTAGTTATCAAAACTAAAGCTAGAAATAAACTCAATTCGGCTGATCATATGCGCAGGATTTGTCGACAACTGTTCCTATATTTGGATTATTGGTGCAAGGAAAACAACAAAGCCTTCCTACTGAGCATCTAATTTGATAAGTATATTATCATACGAGTGATTATTATGAATGAAAAATCAATAAAAATTATAAATTTACAATGTTTTGATTGTTATGAGGCATTGCTCTCGTCTTTCTACTAAATACTCGAGAAGGCACAATTCTTAACGATTTAGACGAAACTTGGTAAAATTGTTTATTTATAACCTATCACGAGAAATATTTGATATGAGTTATTGCCCTTGTTCTTGGAAACTTGTTCAATTTTTAGCTTGTAAACAGTGTAGAATGCACCATTCTTAACGGATTTGGACGAAACTTGTTGAAATTGTTTATTATCAAGAAACGATGAACCCTATCACGATATAACTTGTTCTGTAGCTAGTAAACACTGTAGAAGGTACAATTATTAATAAATTTAGATAAAGTAAGATAATCAAGTAGGAACCTCATTAAAAATATCTTAACTCGACCAACTCACTCTTTTGAGCTAACTGAATTGTTTGTTTCCAGACGTCAGAAAAAATACAGTTATTGATAGTGTTTGATTGTATTATGTAGTAGAGGTTAGTAATAATACAGATATTGATGGTGTTTGATTGTAGTATGTAGTAGAGGTTAGTAATAATACAGATATAGATAGTGTTTGATTGTAGTATGAAGTCTAGGTTAGTAATAATACATTGAAAGTATCTGACTGTATTATGTAGTCTAGGTCAGTAATGATACAGTAATGATATTGGTAGTATCTGATTGTAGTATGTAGTCTAGGTCAGTAATAATACAGATATTGATAGTGTATAACTGTAGTATGTAGTAGAGGTCGGTAATAATACAGATATTGATAGTGTTTGACTGTAGTACGTTGTCTAGGTTAGTAATGATACAGATATTTACAGTGTTTGACTGTAGTGTATAGTAGAGGACAGTAATGATTATATGGTATTTGTATCATTACTGACCTCTACTACATACTACAGCCAAACACTATCAACTACACTCATACACTATCAATATCTATACTACAGTCAAGCACTATCAATATCTGTATTATTACTGATCTCTACTACATACTACAGTCAAACACTGTCAATATTTGTATCACTACCGACCTCTACTACATACTACAGTCAAACAGAATCAACATCTGTACCATTACTAACCTTTACTACAAAGTACAATCAAACAGTATCAATACTGACCTAGACTACATACTTCAGTCAAACACTATCAAATATCTGTATTATTATTGATCTCTACTACATACTACAATCAATATCGGTATCATTACTGACCTCTACTACACACTACAGTCAAACAATCAACATCTGTAGTAATACATGTACAGTCAAACAGTAACAATATCTGTATCATTACTAAACTATACTACATACTACAGTCAAACACTATCAATATCTGTATTATTACTGACCTAGACTACATACAACAGTCAAACCCTATCAATATCTGTTTCATTACTAAACTTTACTACAACTACAGTCAATACCTGAATTATTACTGACCGTGACTACATACTACAGTCAAACACTATCAATATCTGTATCCTTACTAACCTCTTCTACATACTACAGTCAAACAGTATCAACATATGTATCATAACTAACCTACACAACATACTACAGTCAAACACTGTCAATATCTGTATCATTACTGACCTCTTCTGTACACTAGTTTCAAACACCGATAATTCTTATACGTGTGAATTTGAAGGCTCAAACTTTCACGGTGAGCTGTGCACACTATTACTGATGGGCTTAGAGACTAAAGTATGATTGGTCAAAAAATTACAGTACCTTAAAAAAACATTATTTGTCCCGGTCGCAATAAAATTGTTCCATGCTGCATGAATCGAGTTGAAAAGTGAGCCATGTTTCCACTTTCTTGAGAACTTTAAGGCATTTCTGCTGTTTTCACATAGTTTATTATGTTTGTTTCGAAGTTCATGTTCATTCTGGACACTAAGAAATATAGAATCGTTTAGAGAAACAACATGTGTTAGTGAAGGCACGTTTCTGAACGACAAATTTGAAATGGTTTGAATGAAAGACTAACAAGTAGGTCTTTTTAGTCACATGATAGCCACATGGAAACGGTTTTTTGAGTTATTGCCCTGAAAAACGCGTCAAAATTTGTTTGTGAACACAATAGAGACTACAGTTTTTAACCGATTTTAATGAAATTTGGTGTGGTCATTTATATTGATAAGATCTTGGTCAAGTTCGAATTTGACAATCTTTCGATGAACGGCTTTGAGTTATTGCCCTTGACTTAGGAAAAAGGCGTCAAAATTTGTTTGTGAACACATTACAGACTACATTTTTTAACTGATTTTTAATGATGTGATCATGTATATTGATGCGATAATTTGATGTATTTGGGTTATTGATATTGATTTTTAAAAATTTGGTGGCAGTAAATATATAAACTATTAAAATTTCTGAGAAAATTCGTACTTTAGTCACTAAAGACTGTTTTATCATTTCTGACAGCTGCCAGTGGGCGTATGTTAACTTGCCTGGCAAGCTATCTTTAAGTGACCAAGTTTGACAATTAAACACATATTCAAACATTTTGTCCAAACTTTGTGGATTATGGATTATCGTGTCACAAAATAGAGTGGAGCGAACGGACCCAGAGCGAAAGCCTTATGGCGAACATTAAAAAGACCGAAAATGTATAGAGGCGAACGCGTTTAACAGAATTAAGATAAATATAAAATTTTAACTTCATGACCTAGGCCTGCGCTTTTATGGGATTTTTATTCTCAGATCACCCTAATATCCACAGGACATAACATTAGAATTTTCGTGGAAATATACTTTACTTACTCAGTTGCGTAGCCATGCACGATTTCATTCAAGGTGGTGAAGGGCACCTTTATCCCCTTTTTGGATTTTCGAGAGCACTGTAGTACTGTAGTGACTTGTAAAAACGTAGTAATGTTAGGAGACAAATTGTATAAAATGCAAGAATTTATTTTTTATTCTCAAACAAAATACCCTTACGATCATTTAGGGAAGATTAGTCCTGAATTGATTTTGAATAGATATACTTGTAATAAGCCTGCTTTCCAATTCATTAACAAGGTTAAGTGTAAATTTTGACTAATTTGTAATTTAAATCTAATGCCAAAAGAACAAATGAATGTACACAGAATTTCATACAACGCGGAACTTTTTAGATTTGAATTGAGAATTAATCAGCCTTGAACTGTGAATTCTTCACAATCGGACTTGACATTTATTTGTAAACAAATACGATATTTGTCTTCAAAAAGGGAATTTTTGATGAACATGATGAGTATTTGATTGCCAAATCGATATTTTGAATATTTTAGGTAGTTTTAAGCAATATCAAATCATGACTAATTTTATTTACCACGCCGTGGTAAATAGCTGTAAGGGTACTTATGGCTATTTACTATACGCTTACCACGCCAGTGGTAAATAGCCACTGCCATGCAGAATGTTATGTGCATAGTATGAGATTACTATATACGCATACAGGTTTCACTAAAATTAATACGAAGAACATAATATATCATAATAAACATTAATGATAAATAATTTGTTTGAAATTGAAGAGGAAGTTGACTGTCAGAATCGAAGAGCAACTGATCGATGTCGTTGGACATGAGCGCATCAACAACTTCCTATTATGGTCGCCAACAAATGAAAGCTGTGCTCATCAACATAATGTTGATGCGTTTTAACTAAGTCAAGGGCGATTACTCAAAAACCGCTCATCGAAAAATGAAAAAAAATTAAAACTTGTCCACAATCTCATCATTGAGCTCACAAGAGATGTTGACGAACGGACAGGGCAGGGGCTACGACAACATACGTCCACATTTCTATGTGGGCGTACAAAAAATATGTTACCGATCAAACGCAACTGAGGACATATTTACATTAAAAAAAAATAATTCGTTAATTTTTGATAATAAGCGTTCCGCTTAGGTCAGCTGCATCATGAAATGTTATGACTCTCCAGACTTTCTGAGAGCCTTACTCTCTCATGTTTGAAAAATTATGAAATATTAGAAATTTTATAAAGGTCAAATTATAGGTCTACTTCAACGAAGTTTAAGTTCAACGAAGCCAGAAATAGATCTAGACAGTATGGTTAAAAACTCATTCGTTTGAGGTCAATAACTAGTAACAAGCTGATGAAAGAAACGTAACTACTTCGACTGAGAAAGTAGAAATCATATTAAGCTGTCATTCTCATCGTGTGTGTAGAGACGATATGGAAGGCAAAGTTAAAAACGAAATCGTTGTCGGAGAACCAAGGGATGTATATGATAGGTCCGGTAATAAAATGACCATCATAGATGTAAATGATTTCCCAAGTATGGATTTAAAGCCTCTTGTAAAATGTGAACCACAAGAGCACTTTGAAAATATACGAGATTTAACCATAAGAGATGATGATATAGTGATATGTGGTTATTCAAAAGCAGGTAAGCTGACTTTTTAGTGAAATATAGTTGCACCGAAATGACATTTGATAATAGAGCAAGTCATTAATCCGTTTTTACTATCCGAGGAGCGAACCACAAAAGAACTCTAATCCAAAGCAGATATCATATAGCCTCTGATTTTATAGGTGTTAGACTTCAAAACATTGCTGGGTTTGACTATATTCGCCCTTATTCTTGGTGTGAGTGTTTGACATCACCCAAGGATAAACCCTATCAACGCTTCAATTTTAAACTCGTACCCCGTAAAACACTAGTGCTGATTGTAGCTAGGTTTACTTGGATTTAAGAGCAATTAAAAACTCAATTTGTATTCAAGGTACACATTGGTTGTGGGAAGTTCTCAACATGTTAAGAAACAAGACGACCGAGTACAAAAAAGATGTGAAAGAGAAACAAATGATAGAATTTCTTCAGAAGGGAGATCTTGATAAAGAACCTTCACCAAGAGTTTTAAACACACATTTATATCCCAGTCTTTTACCAAAACAACTGTTAGAGAAAAAAACCAAACTGGTTTATTTGATTCGGAATCCTAAAGATACAGCTGTTTCATTGTATTTTCATTTCTATGGATTACAATCTATGACATCTTATAAAGGAGATGTACACGATTTTTTAGATATGTACCTGCATCGAGAATGTAAGTGAAAATTATGTAGAAGATAATAAAAAAATACATGTTACTAGGCTACTTCATACATAGGCTACAGACCTAAAGTGCGGCAAAATGACCGAAGTGGTAGAGTAGATTTATGAAAAAACGGCTGGATGAGCTTTATAAAATTGGTACTTACGATGATATGGTTATTTTCATAGACTGAAAAGTCACTTAATCCTTTTAAAAAATAATATCTCTCAGAGAACAGGGAAACCCTATATGATATAATACCCTACCCATTGACTTTTATCTAAAACAATTTCAGTGATATTTGGAACTTGGTTTGAATATGTTTTAAAATGGGAGAAATTTCTTCAGACAACTGATAACCCAGTTTATTTTTTACCTTATGAAGACATGAAAGAGGTAATATATGAAGATAAGCCTATATGTGATGATTAAGTGATTTGATAAAATTCATTAAAAGCAAAAGGACTGCTAAAATTAATTAGGTTTGGAACACTTGTCTGGTCAAGTTATAATTCAAAGATGACAACAGAAAGAAATACATCGGACAAATATTTGAGCTCTTTTTAGTTGATGAAAGGCTCATATTCACACATCTTCACAATGCCAAGCTTTCAAACTTCGTCTATACCTGTCACAAATGTTTGTAAAATACAGCGATTTGATTTGATTGTACGCTAGCGAATGCAGCTAACCAAATGCCTGGTAGTTATACAAAGAAATGTGACTATTGCAGACAAGGTATAAGACGACGATTGCAATAGCTTGACATTGTGAAGATGATCATATATCGTTATCCTTATTGAGGAGGCATTAACGTGATATACATGTTTGGATCTTATCTTTGAATTTTGTTGCAGAAAAGTAGGACGTAAAATTCCATTCATTTCATTTCATTTTGAATTTTGTTTTCGGAATAAGAACCTGAAAACATTCGTTATTGTTATAAAGACTCGTTTTAACTGTTTTCCATGTTGTTGTAGAATCCAGTTCATCATGTTAAAGAATTAAGTAAATTTCTAGAGATGGATGTATCAGATAAACTAATAGAAGATATCGTTGAAGCCTGTTCATTTCAAAATCTGAAAAAAGCTACAGAAGAACAGAAACATGACCCATTGAAGTCATTATGGATTGAAGGAAAGTCTATGTATAGGAAAGGTATGGCCTATATTGTTATCGCCTGACCACTTCTTCTCCAAACGATCTTAGCGCTAGGATGTTCCATTACTTCTAACAGGCCTTTTGTAATTGTAGGATTGTGACGAGATATTGAAATAAAGAAGTATTCCCAATTAAGTTTAGAAATTTCCAGATAAATAAAAACAAAATATTTGTTCTTCTCTAGGACAAGTTGGAGATTGGAAGAACTATTTTACTGTGGCAGAAAATGAAGAATTTGATAAAGTTTACCAAGAGAAAATGAAGGACAGCAAACTACAATTTAGATACATATAAGTATGAAGCCACCAAAACGGGAGAAGGATGGTGTTACAACATTTGGAGAGGGAAGGGAGATGTTACCTACCATTCATCCTCTTAAAATATTGGGTTTATCAAAAGTATAGACAACATTATATATGCTACGTATCTATTTAGCAATATTTATCTGCTTGAATGTAGTAATTTTTCAAATAAAAATAAGTTTTACGTCCTACTTTTCTGCTTCAGTTTGGCTAATGGAGACTAGCATGGCCAGGCATTATGCTTGAAGGTAATTTTGACAGGATGGCAGCAATAGTCTACTCATATAAAAGACTAGGCTAATATGCATTACTTACCTTCGAAAGCGGGTTGAAATTCAACTCTACCTATGATGGAAATGAACCTCAGGCCTCAAGGTAAGTGAGCAAGCACATAACATCTCTATTTAGTGTTGATTTGTTTAACACACTTGTCAGAGGTGGAGAGACTAGACTACATAAAACACTATGCTACGGTTGCTTTCTGAGAATATTTGCAAACAAAAATGTTAATTTTTCAAAAATATCTACCTATACCTACCCCAAATCAAATTGTTAGAGATTGGCCCTTAGACCAGCATTATGATTGCTAAACAGAGGTTAACTTAAAGAAAGTTTAGCTTGAAAACACGCTAGAAGGTTCAGTTATTGACAGATTTTGACAAAACTTACTGTACTGCAAAATATTTTTATTTAAAATCAAAGCTGCCAGTGGGTTTATATTACCTTGCCTTGCAAGCTATCTTGTTAAATATATAAAAATACACTTGCACTGAGTTCAGTAAGCAAATCTTTTTTTAAACATGTATATTGCCATAATTCCTATTGTTAGTCCTAATAACCATATTTGTAACATATAGTGAGGATAATTTTTGACAAACATTTCTTCTTTTATCTTTCACTTCTTATTGGGCAATATTTGAATTTTAATATCTGCTCTCTTTTCAATTCAGAAATCTGGTCCATCTTGTTATGTCCATCTTGAAATGATTGTCATCATACCAAAATGAAAAATGAAATGAATGGAGTTTACATCCTACTTTTCTACATCATGTGGGCAAATGAAGAATGCCATGCAGGGCGATTTGGACGAAACTTGGTGAAATTGTTTATTATTAACCTATCACGAGAACTATGAAAATAAAAAAAAATGTAAAAAATATTTGATATGAGTTATTGCCCTTGTTCTTGGAAACTTGTTCAATTTTTAGCTTGTAAACAGTGTAGAATGCACCATTCTTAACGGATTTGGACGAAACTTGTTGAAATTGTTTATTATCAAGAAACGATGAACCCTATCACGATATAACTTGTTCTGTAGCTAGTAAACACTGTAGAAGGTACAATTATTAATAAATTTAGATAAAGTAAGATAATCAAGTTAGGAACCTCATTGAAAATGTTGAAAAATATCTGAGACACGACCGACTCACTCTTTTGAGCTAACAGAATTGTTTGTTTCCAGACGTAAAAAAAAAATACAGATATTGATAGTGTTTGATTGTAGTATGCAGTAGTGGTTAGTAATAATACAGATATTGATAGTGTTTGACTGTAGTATGTAGTAAAGGTTATTAATAATACAGTTATTGATAGTGTTTGACTGTAGTATGTAGTAAAGGTTATTAATAATACAGATATTGATAGTGTATGACTGTAGTATGTAGTAGAGGTTAGTAATGATACCGATATTGATTGTGTTTGACTGTAGTATGTAGTAAAGGTTATTAATAATACAGTTATTGATAGTGTTTGACTGTAGTATGTAGTAAAGGTTATTAATAATACAGATATTGATAGTGTATGACTGTAATATGTAGTAAAGGTTATTAATAATACAGATATTGATAGTGTATGACTGTAGTATGTAGTAGAGGTTAGTAATGATACCGATATTGATTGTGTTTGACTGTAGTATGTAGTAAAGGTTATTAATAATACAGATATTGATAGTGTATGACTGTAGTATGCAGTCTAGGTCAGTAATAATACATATATTGAAAGTATCTGACTGTAGTATGTAGTATAGGTCAGTAATAATACAGATATTGATAGTGTATGACTGTAGTAGAGCTTAGTGATGATATTGATACTGTTTGATTGCACTTTGTAGTAAAGGTTAGTACAGATGTTGATGCTGTTTGACTGTAGTATGTAGTAGAGGTTGGTAATGATACAGATATTGATAGTATTTGACTGTAGTATGTTGTCTAGGTCAGTAAAAACACAGATATTGATAGTGTTTGACTAGTATGTTGTCTAGGTTAGTAATGATACATATATTGATACTTTTTGACTGTAGTATGTAGTCGAGGTCAGTAATGATACATATATTGACAGTAGTATGTAGTAGAGGACAGTAATGATTACATAATATGTGTATTGCCCACATGGAAAAGGCGTCAAAATTTCTTTGTGAACACATTAGAGACTACAGTTTATAACTGATTTTAATGAAATTTGGTGTGATCATTCATATTGATGAGATCTTGGACAAGTTCTAATTTAACGATCTTTTAATGAAAGGTTTTTGACTTATTACCCTTGACTTAGGAAAGCATGTCAAAATTTGTTTGCTAACACAATAGAGACTAGTTTTCAACTGATTTTAATGAAATTTGGTGTGAACATTTATATTAATGAGATCTTGGACAAGTTCATGCGGGCGTATAAAAAGGGAATTTTTGATGAACATGATGAGTATTTGATTGGCAAATAGTTATTTTGAATATTTAGGTAGTTTAAGGAATTTTTCCCGAAAAGAATATCAAATCATGACTAATTTTAATTACCACGCCGAGGTAAATAGCTGTAAGGGTACTTATGGCTATTTACCACGCTTACACCGCCAGTGGTAAATAGCTACTACCATCCAGAATGTTATGAACACAGTATGAGATTACTATATAAGTATGCAGGCTTCACAAAAATTAATAAGAAGAACATAATATATCATACTAAACATTAATTTGCATGTAAATGATAAGTGACTGTCAGAATCGGAGAGCAACTTATCAATGTCGTTGGACATGAACGCATCAACAACTTCCTATTATGGTCGTCAACTTGAGCGGTCGGAATCTGCCATCCCGTCGATCGTATTTGCTAGTAGAAGAAGAAAAGCATAGCTTAGGCGACACCAATTTATAAACTTGGATTACGGGCCCGCCGACCTGCTTTTTTGACGAATCCCAATAAAAATAAAAATGAAAAAATCTATTTTTTTTTTTATTCTTACTGTGTCCGCCGATGTAAAAATTTCAACACGAAATCCTAATGGGACGTAACTCGGTTGATAAGTTGTACTCGCTTAGCGAAAGCGTTCACTGTTGAATGGTCAGTCAGTGTTAATGAGACAAAAGGCTAGTTCCACGATGTTTTTGATAACGGTACGACTATGCAAATGAGGTGCCTGCAAATTTCTAAAATAAATCTTGAACCGAAGCTATTTTCATTCGAAAGATAAATTGGTTTGTAATATGTTGATTGTTGGCTAGATAGTTTTAAAATTTGTTGTATTATGAGATTAGTTCTGGAAATCTGGAAAAGCCTTTCAAAAAATAAAATAAACCAATAACACATGATTTGTGATTTGGTTCGTTCCAATCTGCAAATTTTGTAAAAATTCTCTCGTCGGCCATTATGCAATTGTTGTGATGAAAATACATCTATGTGAAAATGTGAGAAAATGAGCGTTGAACTCGATGTTTATATCAACGTCTCCATATGTACCGAGGGCCGTGTCACAAAACGAACCATAGTGCGTGCCTCTGATGACGAAAATGTTGGTAATTTATTGACGCGCTCCGGATGGCAGGACACAGAAGAAGTAACCGTCTCCAGCGTTAAAGCCGGTATCGAAATAGACCATGAAACTACCGATGTAGAGATAGTTACACCCGTAGCAGTTTTAAGACAATTTAATTTTAAATCCATAAGGTTTAATCTGGTGTCAAAGAATGATAAACAATGTGCTATTTCGTCAAAGCTTTGTTTGTTTCCAAAGGATATAAATAAAGTTTTAAATACATTCCTTTTTCATCTTCTTGAAATGCAGATTTTTTTTGATTTTTTATTTTTACAAGTATTATCAAAAGTGTTTGGAAATTGTAGCTTGTATTGTGCTCACGAACAAAAAGAATAAGCGCAATAACTCATAAACTAGGCCTATTTATTGAAAAATTGCCAGTATCAACATATATGATTATACCAAATTTAACTAAACTCAAATGAAAGCTCATCAACATGTTGATGCGTTTTAACTAAGTCAAGGGCGATTACTCAAAAACCGCTCATCGAAAAATGAAAAAAAATTAAAACTTGTCCACGATCTCATCATTGAGCTCACAAGAGATGTTGACGAACGGACAGGGCAGGGGCTACGACAACATACGTCCACATTTCCATGTGGGCGTACAAAAAATATGTTATCGATCAAACGCCACTGGAGACATTTATATTAAAAAAAAAATAATTCGTTAATTTTTGATAATAAGCGTTCCGCTTAGGTCAGCTGCATCATGAAATGTTATGACTCTCCAGACTTTCTGAGAGCCTTACTCTCTCATGTTTGAAAAATTATGAAATATTAGCAATTTTATAAAGGTCAGAATATTGGTCTACTTCAACGAAGTGTAAATGAATTTATACCTCAAATTCAGGCCATATAAAGCCAGAAATAGATCTACTATAGACAGTCGAAGTGATGATTGTATTTTAATGAAGGGTCTAAGGGAAAACAAACTAAAACTAGAACCACTCGTGGTACTGAGTGGGACTTTGCTCATGTGCCAATTTGCTAGAGAATCTGAAAAAATCAACGTTCTTAGCCATTTAGGTCACGTGTTAAAGCCGTCAAAATTTTTGAAAATTTCTCTTTTTTGGAAGGTTGTGAAAGCGGAAGTAGAAGTCAGGCATAAAGTATGAAAGTATGATTAGATTACCAAGGTCAATGACCTTTGACCATGTTAAGAGGAAGGTCATTTAAGGTCAAGGTCACTAGATGTGAGTCATCAAACTTTGAAAATACAAACATTATAAAACCGGAAATTGATGGTGAACATTAAATATGAAGGTATTAATCTTTAGCCAAGGTCAATGACCTTCGATCCTACAAAGAGAAAAGTCATCAAACGTAAAAGTCAAAAGTTGAAAATATGTAAAATTTAAACCCTGTTCCTTTTTTTGAACTACGAAGCTGAAGCAACTGACCTTTTCACACGAACTGGCCAAAGGGGTGAAGTAATTGTGTACAAGGTCCTGTTTTGAACAAATGTAATTTAACCCTAATGTGCCACGCCCACCTCAACTTTTTTGTCATAAGTTAATTCATATTTAAAATGTCTCGTTGTGTTCCGAATTCCGAATACAAAAATATTGTAAATAAAAACACCGAAATTAAAAAAATTCAAAATTTCAATTTTGCATTATATCACTGGAAAGAGCACGATGAGCTAATAAAGGTCAAGGTCATCAAAGGTCAAGGTCAAAAATTCCTGTTCCTTTTTTTAAATTATGAAGCTGAAACAACTGAACTTCTAAGACAAAGTGCGTCTAAGAATGACGTAATTGTATGCAAAGTTCCAATTTGAACACATGTATTCTTTGCGAGTTATGCTTCTGGCCAAATATGTCAATAATAAGTAATTTAACCCGGATGTGCCACGCCCAACTCATTTTTTGACCCAATTTAATTGATATTTAAAATGTTATGTTGTGTTCAAAATTTCAAGCTTCTACATCATGCAGGTCAAAAGATATAGGTCAACAAAAGTCAAAAAAGGTCAAAATCGAAAATTGAAAATAAGGAAAATTTAAACACGTCCCTTTTTTGGAACTATAAAGCTGAAACAACTGAGCTGTTAACATAAACTAGCCAAAAGGACGAGGTAATTGTGTGCAAAGTCCCTTTTTGAACAAATGCCCCTGCCCTTAAATATAAACAATTAGTACTTCAACCCACGCCCACCTCAACTTTTTTGTCATAAGTGAATTCATATTTAACATGTCTAGTGGTCTTCCAAATTTCAAGGTTCAACATCAAAAAGGTCATAAGATATACATACACCAAGCTCAAAGAGACATAAATATTGTAAAAAAAACACTCAAATTTGAAAAAATCACGAATTTCAAGTTTGCTTTATAAATACGATTGTTATATATCACTGGAAAGAGCTTGAGAAGATTATATACGCCCACTTCTCCATAGAAGCCTCATTTTTCGTTTTACAAAAGTGCTTCATATCAAAATGGCGGCAAAAATATCGCTTCCGGTCCGAATGGTTTTTTTCTTGGTTTTTTTGTAATAAAGTTGACTACCGATCAATATTTGTGTCGTTGCTCTATATGAATTACACCGGACGTTTTTCAACCGGAAGTAGATCTGAAATTCAGTCGCTTTCCTGTTCAAATGAACATTTCCTGCGGAAATGACGTACAATATTTGACTATACTATATTATTTACATTAGTGAAGTCTGTTTGCGTTTAAAATTTCAGATCAATCGATGCAAAAACAAAAAGGTTGCAAAAAAATTTAAAAATTTGATCGAATAAAGTGAGCTAAGAATTTTCGAATTTCGCAATTTTTCAAGTGATATCAGGTCAGAAATAACAGGTAAATTGTAAAAATGAAAACCTGAAGAAATTCGATGCAAAAAGGCGCCTTCTAGAGCCGATTTCGACTTTTTGCACATGTGGACCTGTGGCACTTCCGGTGTTGCAAAAATGTTCCAAAATACACTCATTTACGACATTGCCACTACAGAAGGTCTACACATGTAGTAATGTTGATGCAGCTGTTGCAGCCTTTGCTTGAAAAGGTGTGGAAAAATCGAAAAAAAAAAATGCAAAAAAAAACTAGAGCTGTGAACAGCACTGAGCGTGGCCCGTTATACTTTGCCTGATAGCTGTAAGACTTTTTTGAACTTCAAACCCTCTCAAGCCCGGTGTTGACTCGACCACTTTTAGTAAAGAGTCAAGCCAAATGAAATGTTTTGTGAAAGGGTAAATTCAATCTTGTATCAATATAACTTATAGTTATATGGTTATTTTAATAGCTTCATGGTAGTTATTATATACAGGTATGTGTGAAATGTGAACATTATTTGACGGAATTTCTTTGTTGATATAAACATGATCTATAAGTGTCCCACCTTCAGTAGTGTAATGCTGAACAAGTTGTTGAAAACCAAATTTTTGAAAACAATTTAGTATAGAAAAATGACCCTCCAAGATATTTTGGTTGAAATCCCCCACAATAACATAGTCTGAACCAGATTCTTGTAATTCAACTAATAATCTTTCTAACATTGGGAGAAATAAATCTAATCGATAAACGGGTGGTCTATAGATAACAATTACGTAAATATTTTTATCCAAAATATTCAAAGCAATGTGTTCTATATTTAAAACTCCCAATTTATAATATATTGACATTTTTGTTTTGCTTATAATATACTCCTACTCCTCCGTGCCCCTTTTCTTTCAAAAATTTGAAATCTCTAGTGTCATCATAGCTGCTGCTTCGAGGATGGTGGTGAAGATGGAAACCATTTAACTTTAGTTTTGCTGGAGTTATTGAATTATTTAGCCATGTTTCTGTTAAACAAATGATATCACCTTCTAGCATTTTCCTGTGTTTCTGTAAATCCTCTATATGAATAGATAAACCCTGAACATTGTGTAAAATTATATTAGTATCAGTTAATATGATCTCGTTTTCAGGTTTTAAAAAAGTATCCATTGCTCCTAATGCCGATTCAATTTTTTCATCACAATATGTTTTTTTCCGTAAAATCTTGTATTGTAAGACCCTGTAATGTTTTAACTCTGCTTAACGAAACATTGGCTTGATCAGCTTGGAATATTTTATGAAGTGATATTACGCCTCTATCAAGACTTAGACCTTGTACTTTGTGAATAGTAACTGCATAGGCGAGACGTAATGGGAGCTGGCGTCTAACATCGCCCTTATAGTTAACATGAGGGCTTTCATATCTCTCAATACCAATACTACCACGTGGTACATTTGGCGGAAGTGGAACACAGTCTTCATTTATTCCAACTTTAGCATTATCAAATTTTACAAAAATTTTGTCAGTTTGATTATTCTGATCAGTTTGTATGAATGTTACTTGACCAAAACTTCCATTTATCAAGCCAGTAGAAACATTTAAATCAATTACTAACAGAAAATTTGACCCTACACCTATTTCTAAGCAAGACACTAATGGTGTATCAGTCACTTTAACACATGTGATTTTAAGCGTCATTTTAATGGTTCTAACATCTTTTGAATAATCTGATGGACACAGAATTCGGGCATTTTTCATCAATTATTTCTAAAATTATAAATATAATCATCAACTTGCTGATTAGTAGAAAATACGCCAGACAATCATCTTCTTTACCAGTTACCCTACTCTGTAACATTTTGACGTCTGAAGCAAGCATTGGTTCACTTTTTTTTCTTTGTCTAATTCTTATCAATGTTTGGGCAAAGGCTTAATCATCTTTTTGTCTCATAATTTCAGTAAGTTCAACAAGTTTGAAATTACCGTTCCATTGGTCTATGACACTTTCATGACATAAACTATTACCTTTAACTGGTCTTAGTTGCCACATATCTCCAAAACATATGACACAGATAACTCATCGGTACCCTTTATTTGCCCGAATCGCCCATGAATGTAACAAAAAAGCTTATGATCTACCATTGAAATTTCATCTATAATAAATATTTGTAAGTTGCGATATTTACATCTTAATGTTTCTTGTCCCAATGGTTGATAAGGTGGAAATGAAAACCCCTTTCTTAATGAAAAACTGCTGTGAATAGTTGACGCTCCAATATTAAAGCACTCACCCCAGTTGGTGCGGTTAAGAGAACAGTGATGTCATCTAAACTTCCCGCAGTTTTCGCAAAAATTCGAGACGCTTCGTATTAAATACATTTGATAAGGTGAGATTTACCGCTACCAGCTGAACCAGTAACAAAGATTCTAAATGGATCATTAACTTTGTCCAGACAATACTGGCGAACGTCATAAAAATCCTGAGACTGTATTTCATTCAGGGATCTAAGTAAGGGAATAGCATCACTTTTCGAAATAGTGCTTATATTAGTTTCAGTGTGAACTCTGCTACTTTGACCTTTATCATATAAAATGTCGGGAATTTGAGGTGTATTGTCATCGTCATTTTGCAAGGGTCGTGAAAATTCGAACAGGTAAATGTAGTGAAAATTCACTGCTCTAAATGAGCGTTTGTTTAAATATTGTAAGTGAAAATACAGCATAACACCAATAACGAAATATTGCTGTATAATGTATCTTGCAGATAGAGTTCTATTAATGGTACAAACAGACAAAATTCCAACTAGTTAATGTATCAAAAAGTCACTGCTCTAAATAAGTGTATGTTTTATTATCATAAGGGGAAATTTTGCAAAAATTTAAAAAAAAACCTGTGAATTATTATAGAGTTGAAAGATAGTGTAATTAGATTAATTCATTTATAACCTATAATAATCTTAGCAGAGGATAAAATTGCCACTTTCTTTTTATTGCTAAGGATTAGCGCAGTTAGAAGCCTGTTGAATTGGCGCCTGCTAGGCGATTAAGTGCTGTGGGTTAGAATCCCGCTCTGTATTCTGATTCCACGGTCAGTGTTTGCTAGAGACAGCCCGCTGTTTGCTTTTATTCCCTCAGCCTAACTAACACCAATAACCAAAACTGTTGTGTGTATCTTGCAGATAGAGTTCTATTAATGGTACAGAAAAAAATCGAAGACGTTAATGTATCAAAAATTCACTACTCTATATGAGTGTAAGTTAAATTATTGTAAGTGAAAATTGAAAAAAAAAAGTTATTTTTTTAAGTGTTAAAAGATTACATAATCAGATTAATATGTTTATGACCCAAACTACTTCACACCTGCATGTCAAAAGCTTTCCTATCATATTAAATAACCTGTTATAACACCTGTCAATCATTTTAATCCCCACAATCTACAGATTTTCACAAATTCAATTTTGTATTAAACCATCAATGTCAATATCGATGAAAAGAGAATATTGAGTAGATCCTGAATATATAAACCATATTGCTAGGAGTTAATTACATTGTAAGTTAGAACCCTCAGTCGAAAAAAAACCCCAATATTTTTAAAACATATTTTAATGGATTATTGTCATATATCATTGAAAAGATAATCAAAAGGGAATTACAAAATTGAAAAATATAATTTTCTGTGTTTATTAGAAAAGGTCATACAGCCGTCCAAATTTGTCAAAAATGTTAATTTTTGAATGGCTATTAAACCGGAAGTTAATATTTTTCAACCAATATGAGTACACCTGTGGATAGCTGAGGTCAAGAACATCCTCCAGTAAAATTTTCAAGGTCATCGAAAGTCAAGGTCACATGGTGTGGCCTTTTGAATTTTCAAAAAATTCAAACGAATATAAAAAAAATTCAAATTCGAAATTCAAAATGTTGTTCCAAGAAACTGTAGACAATGTTACAAGGTTTTAATGGACACCAAAATCATAAAAATTTGATAAAAAATGGAGGACTAATTAATTTTTTGCTAAAATAGGTCAGTCCGAGGCGACGGCTTATGCATCACTTCCGGTTTGGATTTTTTCTGCTATGTGCATTCTAATTATGACTGACAGACAATATATATGGTTTTTGCCAACATCTTAAATTTACACCGAAAGTGGGGGTGTCAGGCGTGATTTAAAAAAAAACGGAAGTTTTCACGCAAAAACCGGAAGTGATAGAAAAATTTTGATTGTATAAATTTATTTGCATGGACATTCATTATGCAATGGCACACTTCGGTTTAGCAAAAATTGAGTTTAAGATATTCATTTTTGATTCCAGGTCATTTAAAAATGTTTGGTGAAGACAATTATGCTATACCATTTTCGATTTTGTCTAGGGACGTTCCCCCAAAAAAAAAAAATAAAAAAATAAAAATAAACATAACGAAAACAAAGCGTGACAAATCGATAGATTTGCCACGCAGAAAAAAAGAATTGACATTTCGATACCAGCATTTTTATCAAATGGCTAAAAAGAAAATCTGTAATATGCTGATATAGACCGTATTGTTAAATGGTTAAAACCTCGTTCGTTTGAGGTCAATAACTAGTAACAAGCTGATGAAAGAAACGTAACTACTGTCATTCTCTTCGTGTGTGTAGAGACGATATGGAAGACAAAGTTAAAGATAGCTTGCGTTGCAAGGTAACATACGCCCACTGGCAGCTGTCAGAAATAATAAAACAGTCTTTAGTGACTAAAGTACGAATTTTCTCATATTGAAGAAATTATTCATGCTGAATAATTCCACAAAATTTTTCAAAAATCAATCAATAACCCAAATAATTAAACAATTAAATCACACAGCTCTAATAAAGGGCAAAAAACAACGTTTGACGAGCGTTTACAATGTCAAGGGCAATAACTCAAAAAATGTCATCAAAGAAATCTCTTGTTAGAACTTGTCTGAGATCTTATCAATTCCAATGATTACACCAAGTTTCATCAGCATCGGTTGAAAACTGTAGCTTCAATCCTGCTCATGAACAATTTTTAACAAATTTCAAGGCATTCTAAGTCAAGGGCAATATCTCAAAAACCGTTCATCGAAAATATGTCAAATTCGAACTTGACCGAGATCTTATCAATCTAAAGCATCACACCAAGTTTTATCAAAATCATATAAAAACTGTAGTCTCTATAGTGCTCACAAGAAATGTTGACGGACGGACCGACGGACAGGGGCGACGACAATATACGACCACATATTTATGTGGGCGTATAAAAACGAAATCGTTGTCGGAGAACCAAGGGATGTATATGATAGGTCCGGTAATAAAATGACCATCATAGATGTGAATGATTTCCAAAGCAGGATTTCATATAGCCTCTGATTTTATAGGTGTTAGACTTCAAAACATTGCTGGGTTTGACTATATTCGCCCTTATTCTTGGTGTGAGTGTTTGACATCACCCAAGGATAAACCCTATCAACGCTTCAATTTTAAACTCGTACCCCGTAAAACACTAGTGCTGATTGTAGCTAGGTTTACTTGGATTTAAGAGCAATTAAAAACTCAATTTGTATTCAAGGTACACATTGGTTGTGGGAAGTTCTCAACATGTTAAGAAACAAGACGACCGAGTACAAAAAAGATGTGAAAGAGAAACAAATGATAGAATTTCTTC